TGTCTCCCTCTCTCCCTCCTCCACCGACAATGCTCCCGCGTACTCTCCTGGCCAGAGGCAGCAGGAGAACGCTGGTTTTGAACGCGAAGGACATTTGCTGCGTGTAATCACTGTATAAAGCTGGCCTACTTCCATTATGAATAATCCTAAAATTGGGGGTGAAAGAGAAAGGTGACCGCACATTTGAAGCTACGAAAAGGCCGTGGTTCATTTTTCAGTCTCTTTATTACGATGCCTCGTCTCAGATCATTTGCAGCTAAATTTTACCTTGGAGCCAGTTTCCTCAGTCATGTTAAATTCATGGGGGAAAATCCTCCGAGGATTTAGGACTGAAAAATAGACAGCTTTAGTAACAGAAACGCTGATGTGAAGAGCAGGGAAAGGCAGCGTGTTCTAACCATTTAGGGAAAAAATGGGGAAGATGTTGCTAATAAGTTCTGCTATATTTTTATCTTACCATTTTCTTCATCTGAAGGAATACTGAGGGGAGGTTTTAAATTCTGAATGATTATCTGACAGCCTCCATCTCCAGGGCAAATTATTAGCAGGAGTTATATTTTGCTCTCACCTTTATTCAAAACTCAGAGGACACACACTTATCAGAGCTCCGCTGAGAAATAAAATCTACAGACGAGAGCGCTGTGAACGGGGTGCCAGACTCCCTTTTGTGACTTTTGTGGACATTGACCTTCTCACTAAGTAGGGCTGGGGGAGAGATTGGCTGAGCCCCTACCACCTTCCTGGATATATTCTGCCCCCACCCCATGCCATCTCTCACCATTCCACCCCAACCCATCCCACCGCGTACCCTATATTCAATGACACCAAACTGCCCAGTGGTTCCAAACAGGCCACCTTTTTGGGTTTTTATTTAATTTTTTTTTTTTTAAGAGAGAGTGTGCGTGCATGCATGGGGGGGATGGCAGTGAGAGAGGGAGAGAGAGAATCTTAAGCAGGCTCCACGCTCAGCGCTCAGCATGGAGCCCGACTCAGGGCTCCATCTCACCACCCTGAGATCCTGACCTGAGCAGAAACCAAGAGTCGGACACTTAACCCACTGACTCACGCATGTGCCCCTGGGCCACCTTTTTGAACAACCTCCTCCCACCCACTGTTCCCAACTGGGTAACCTTCCTCTCGTCTCCAATCTCCAGAAATCTTTCCAACCCCAAGCAGAATTAAGGGCATCTCTTTCTGCTCTTCATAATACCCAGTCCCTTTTCCACTGTGGAGCTTGGTACACTGGGATTACTCGTTTATAATGTCCCTTCCCCTGGGGTAACCCAGAGGGCAAGGACTTTATCTCAGATACTGTACCCTCTAGCCTGGGGTTCCTCAACAGGAGCAATATTGACATTTGGGACCAGAAAGTTCCTTGTTGTAGGAATCATCCCTGCCCCCTCCGCAGTCAATGCCAGAGGCACCCCATCCCCAGTGTGACGATGAAAGCCATCTCCAGACATTGCCCGTTGCCTCCTGGGGGAGAAAAGTGCCCCTGGTTGAGAACCACGGCTCTGGGCCTAACAGAGAGCCTGATATACACTAGGAGCTTAAGAAATATTTGCTGAGTTGATCAATCAAGGTCCAGGTTAATGAATACAAAGCTGAGTGAGTCAACCGATGAAGAAAGACCTTACTACAGCTTCTACACACTTGCCGCATCAAACTCAGAACCTTTATTCGGGCAGTCAAGTCTCTTCACGAACTGGCTCTACTTTTTCCTTATTATTCCCCGGTCCCCATTTCTTCTCGCCTGCGGTCTCTTCCTTATTCTCACACTTGGTTTTCCCTCCCACCACTCTAAATTCTCTACTTCCTTCAACACAAAGAAGAATTTACCTACTTCAAAAAGCCTTCCCCAGTTCACCCAGTCTACAGTGATCTAAAGATTTATGAAGAGGATGGATGAGGGAAAATTATAAGAATACATATATACAGGGGCGCCTGGGTGGCTCAGTCGGTTAAGCGTCTGCCTTCGGCTCAGGTCATGATCTCGGGGTCCTGGGATCGAGCCCCGTGTTGGGCTCCCTGCTCAGTGGGGGGTCTTCTTCTCCATCTGCCCCTCCCCCCCCCGGCTTATGTTCACTAATAAATAAATCAAATCTTTTAAAAAGAAAAAAGCTTTGGCCTTCCTGGCTGATTCTGAGCTCTCTCAACACCCGGGCACCCCTCCTACTCTCCTCCTTCAGGAACACTGGCCGTGACTGGTATGTGCACTTTTCCCCATGTCTGTGCTTGGAAACTTGCCCCAACTTTTGTCCTACAGGGCATTTCTCATGTTTTTCTTGGAAGAGATCATGCTTTACCCAAGAGCAGTCACCCGTGGGGCTTCTGGTCCTCAGTGGTAGAGGTAAGGGGACAACCCCCGAGTCTATCAGCATTGCATTTGAGTCCCCATCTGTGACAGGATAAATACAGACGTAGGGGAATGGGGTGGGATGGGGAAAACCATTTCTAATTTTTGTAACCATTAATAAAAAGGTGAAAGAATGCTTTTGGTCAAGTCTTGTAACTTGTGTCTTTTGACAGAAGAGCCTCCCGAGGCTTCTGTCTCTCCATTTATCCCTCTGGGCTGTGTCTTTTAAGCACCCTGCCCATGGCTGTCTCCTCTAGGCCCACCCACGCCCTCCCACTGAAAATACCAAACCACACGCTTCTCTGGCCGGGCCTCCTCCTAGAGCACCGTCCTGATTTACTCTACTCACTACCAAACGCACGTCTGCGTCCACAGCTCACGGCTGTCTGGCAACCTTATAGCATCTCCTCACTTCCCAAAGCACACCCACTTTCCCCAGAACGCTGGACCTCCTATTTATTGCCACGTGTTATGACCCCTGCTTGTGACTCCAACCCCTTGACCCTGCCGTGGCTCTTCCAGTGATGTTCTACGACTTTATGATTTAACCTCTCTCTATAAAGCAGTGACAGATCATTCACGTCTTGATCACTGTTAAATTTCCAGCGTGTGTTAATCACTTACTCAATAAATGTGTTGAGTGAACAAAGGATTGCTAGAACCCGACGGAAGATTGAATTAGGTATAGGAATCATAGAAAACAAATCCCCATCTCTCAATTTTTAGATTATTTTCTGGAAATAATTGTACTGGTACTGGGCTGAACTTCTGTTGTAGCTGAAATCATGTCCTGCAACTGCTACAGAGAATTATCAGTTACATACATGATGTGCAGGGTGCTCGACTGTACCAAGCACTTCCTTAGCAGCACCAATGGGTGCATGCGCGCAGATCCTAGCAGCCACAGCTCGGCGTTGCACACAATGTGGTCCTGGAGTCTACCGCCCAAGACCATTACTGCTCGGACCTGGACAGGCGCTCACCCATCCCGACCAGGCAACTGACTAGTGGCATCATCTGAGTTTAAATGGTTAACTTCCAACTCCGCCATTCCTTTCCTTCTCCAGTACCTTCTAGTCCCGTTCCCCAATTTTTGACTTTTCATCTACTTATAGCTATTACTCCATTTTCACCTACATTTCAATCCCAGCCCAGAAAACAGAGGAGTGAATAATGGGATGAATGTTCTCGATTAGAGCGAATACTCTCAAAGTTTTCAAATTTTCCATATAGGACCAAAGTAGATACCAAGCAGGATGTTATCAATGCTCCTCCTTTTTTTAAATGACAAACTGTGAAGACACAAACACCACGTTTGCTTTAAAGTCTTTATTATCCTGAATACAAAAGACAGAAGTCCTTTAGGATAGAACAGAGTTCTTTATGTGGAAACATTATTTTTTTTTACAAGTGAAAAAATAAATACCTCTTGGAATAAAGGCTTATATGCTAATATGTGCCATAAAAAAGTAGAGTTTTAATATTTGACAAAATGTCTGTGCAAAGAAACAAATGCATAAACACATTACTGCTACATTAAGGCAATATGAAAAGTATACTCGGAAATCTCAGTAAAGTGACAGTGTAGGTTTCTAGCTTTCACTTAGCTAGTATTGCACCCAATAAGGTCATCTAGGTGTCCCGACGTCCTAGAAAACCCACAAGCTGACCAGCGTCCAAAATGCCCAAGTGGGAGTGGAAAACGTGATTAAGAATATAGAAATAAAGAAACTTGAAACCCCTCAAAGACCTAGGGAGGAGGCAACCGAGAGTTAATACTTAAGCATTTACTACAAAAAAAAAAGCATACAATAATGTAAGATACCTACAATAAGGCTATAAAAGGCTTGATGGCTCGAGCAAAAGCGACCCCAGTGGCTGAAGCTGGAGTGGAATTTTTGGGAAAAGCGGAGAGCCCTTCGGTTTGTACACCGTGAAGCTTCATCTCCGCGAGCAACGCTCTGCTTCCCCAGGAACATGCGGTCCCTTTTCAACTTAAATAAAATATCCCACCAACTCAAGAGCCCAAGGAGTGCGGACTACTCCACAGAAATCTTATAACCAGACTGGTAACATTTTATAATCGAAAGACTTGGGGGAGGGAAGGGGGCGGGGAGGGGGGAAAGGAAGCCGTGCGTACTGAGTTCTGTTTTCCACAAGCCAGGCTGGTTTACATCTGACAGCCTGGTTGTCAACTTTTTAAAAGTCACAGAATTGATCTCTACATCTGTTTGCCTTCCAATCATTCTTGAACAAGTTATAAAAACAGAAATGACATTAAAATGACTGTTTCTTTAAGAAAAATTTCCTATTAAAATGTTCAGAGCTCCATGACCGTACAAAAAGAACCAAGTAATTCTTAAAATGAATTCTTACAAAATTTGCTGCCAAGTAAGAAACTTACACCTCAGGATACACCAGGAGACTTAACGATGTCCCTTCCTAAAAGGTACCCACTTTTTGGCTCTGCAGCCGCTTAACTGACATCACAGATTTCACATATTCGTTTAACTTGATCATGAGAAGAGTAAATCCAATGAACGTGTCCGTGGCCCAGAACTCTTCCCGGCCCCCACCACTGCAGTTGCGGACTCTACGCATGGTGTGTTTTGGTGGGGAGGAGTATTCTTTTTATTCTTCCTTTTCTTTTTTTTAAATGTTGCATGGCAGATGGGTGTCGGAGTATTTATCTTCTCCACGATCTATCATTTGTATAGTTTAGTAGTAGTGCAGTCCGTGGAAACGTGGCACGCCCCGTTAGGTGCACCGCACGTCAGATCACAGTCAGGTTGAGCAGACTCGTGTGGGTCGGCAGATAGACGTGCTGCACGTGTTCCACCCTCGACCTGCAGACCGGACACGACTGGAAGAGAAGCCCACGGTACTTGTTAGGACACCTGTGAGGATGTGTCTTCAGTATTCACACGCGGCACCTCCTCTATTCGGTTTGTTACGTAAGTTGTGGCCACAACTATTTCTAGCTCTCAAGTGGTAGAGATCTTTGCTCTCTCTCTCTCTTTTTAGAAGATTTTATTTATTTATTAGAGAGAGAGAGAGCGAGAGCATGCATGAGCAGGGGGAGGGGCAGAGGGAGAAGCAGACTCCCCGCTGAGCAGGGAGCCCGATATGGGGCTCAATCCCAGGACCCTGGAACCATGACCTGAGCTGAAGACAGACGCTCAACCCACTGAGCCACCCAGGTGCCCCAATATCTTTGCTTTCTAATGGGTCTGAAAGCCTATACCTTACAAAGGATTCAAAATATTATGAAAAAGTATAAACTGCAGGCAATTAATTAGGTTTTTAGTCCCACTCTAACCCAGGCACAATGAGTAAAGTGATTAGCAAAGAATTCCTGCTATGTAGCGAGGCTTGGTCCCTGCATGGGCAGAGTGCGACCCCTCTGGCAGTGACGCAGGAGACCTGAGACCCTTCCAGAGTCTGGGTGTCCCTCGCTCAGTGGGCTGACCTAGGCCAGTGCCGCTGGTTTGATGCCATGTGGCCAGTGAACTTGGCTCTGCTCCGAATCCCAGGTCACAGCTCCACATCCCTGGCTGGCTTCTCAGCAAGCTCGGCACTCCCCCTCAGCCACAGGGGAGCTTTAGGCATGGGGGTCCGACCATGTGGACGGAAAAAGGCAAATCCCTAACCTACCGCTCCTGGAGAAATAACTCCTTGTTATTAACTCATTATCTACTCTTAGGAAGGACAAAGGCATCCTGCTGGCTCACTATATAACCCTAAAACTATTTCTGAAATTAGCAGCTTTTGAAGGACTAGATATTATTTAGGGCTAATTTTGAAATAAAACCACAGTGACATTTAGCAAACAGTTCTTAGAAATGACGACAAATTGAAAAAATTATTGTAAGGGGAAATGTAAGGTGCAAGAAAGGAAAACATACATGCGTTGCTTTTTTTTTTGTATTAATATTAAAATTAGTTTGACTTGCTAACTAAGAGCCAATCCTCTTGGATTGGCCCCTTGAGGCATATGCAGCAATAAAAGGAAATTAATCACAAATAATCACAGTCAACGATCTGCCCACAGAACTGAAAGTGAGCTCTAACTACCGCTTTTCAGTATTCTTTTTCAGATATTTTAAGTAAATAATAAAGACCATCCTCCTAAGTGTCAGGAAGCAGGAAGCGATGGTTCTAGCCTCCGCCTCACCTGCTTACTAGATGTGTTACATTGGGAACCTGAGCCTCCTTTCCAGAACCTGAAAAAAGTCTATGACTTAGAGCAATTACGTTGTTGAAAATAGTATGCTAATCCAGAATGTTTCCCAAGAGCAGTACCCGTGAAGTCCCCAAATAGGAAGCCCCTTCCCAGGTGTCCAGGTGTAGCTGGGCATTCCGGCTTGCACCTGGTGCACAGCAGGTGCTCATCGACCCTGAACGGTGGGATGAGCGAGCCTGCCGCGGAAGAGCCGCCGCCGAGCACCCCTCACCTGCAGCTGGGTGGCGCAGGCCTCACAGCACACGGTGTGGCCGCAAGGGCAGAAGGCCGAGTTGATCTCCTCCTCACAGCACACCATGCACAGCATGGCCTCCTTCAGCTTGCGCAGCTTCTCCTGGAGCGCCCTGGTCTGCTGGCAGCTGAGGCCCTCACAGCTGGTGCAGTTCATGCTGCTCTCCGAGGACTTCAGCGGGGAGTTTGGAGGACTGTGCTCGCTTCTTGTGACAAGGTCCACAACACCAGCATTGTACAGAGCCCTCCTGGCGTGGTCGTAGACCTCCTTTGACGTTCTTTTAATATCGAAGACGTACTTCTTGCCAAGGTTAATATTTTCATTCAGAAACAGAGAGGCCAAGTGGCCCTTCAGGTCTCGGCTGTACTGCATCATGACGGCACTGGTCACCGTGTCACACCTGCAGGGACAGATGGAACGTCCACTTCAGTACCAACAAGCCCGCGCATTCCCGAGACTCAGACCTTCAAATGCTACTGTGCCTAAGAATGTTTGTGTCAGCAGACATTTGTATTCTTGCTTGCAAGCCCCAAAGTAAATTCTTCCAGTGTTATGCACGTGGAACATTTCAAGGATTCTACCTCTGTGTTTCTCAAGTGTCCCCGGAGGACTTGGGATAAAGCAGCCACCAACAGAGAGGACCGTGATCGCCTGCTTCCACCTCCGGGGATAGGAGCTCCAGCCAAAAACAGCCCGTGGCAGGAAAGAGGGACATGTTCTTCTTTCCTGGCTTTATGCTAAAAATTCCCACAAATTTTCCATTCTGCTCCAAAATTTCTGTGTCTATCTTAGCAGAAAAAAGGTTAAGATTGCAATTAAATTTCTCAGCTTTAATTTCTCACATATTTGGGTCAAACCACAAGCCTGCTTTAAAGCACCTTCCGAAATGAGGGTATCGTTACTGTCGTTAGAAAGCCCGAACTGTGCACTGAGCAGTTGGGGTAGCTGCTCTCCCACAGACACGACTTAGGTCAAAGAGCAAAGCAGTCACGGGACGGGCCCAACGAGTCAGAGTTCCCGGGGAGAGGAGGCGTTGTGAGGGAATAAGGTAAGAGAAGCTGCGCGGGGAGGGGAGGTGTCTGTGCGGCTCGTCCCCCCGAGTGCTGTGGGAAGAGCGAGACCACGTCGATAAGGACTCCCAACGCTACAGTAGAGCAGGACAAACGAAATGTTCGAAAGCAGCGGATTTCTTAAATTCTGCACAAGATTCACGGACACAACGATACCGGAAACCACAGGTTTGTCACCTGAAAACCCAGAGCTGTGGACAGACGCTAAGGTTGTGGGGTACGGAGCGCTACGTGCCTGTAGAAAGCGTGGGTCTCCGTTATTGCTCGGTAGAGCCCGCTGGCTGCCCTGGTGCTGATCATCTTGAACAAGAGCACGACACTATTCCCAGACTCCTTGGTGACGGTCAAGTACACGTTCTTTCCCGACTGGGTGGCCATCTGCACCACAGGGTAAGCAATCCTGAAACCCGGGAAGAGAAAAGTGAGCCCACCCTGGAGGAGTGATCTGTCACTGCGTGTGCACCTCTGCAGGATTCCCCTGTGCTCGGGACCCAGCAGTACAACCAGATGCTTGGTCTGGGACTGCAAGTAAGCACCCCGCTCCCTGGTCAGAAAGTAGTTGTGGAGAAGTGCTGGAGTGAGCTGTGTGTGTGTGTGGAGGTGGAAAGGAGACTTTTACAGCAGTGAACTTATTTGAAAAATATTAACTCTGCCACGTCAGTACACTTGAGTTCGTAGCTTAAAAATAATTAAGGGGCGCCTGGGTGGCTCAGTCAGTTAAGCATCTGCCTTCAGCTCAGGTCATGATCCCAGGGTCCTGGGATCGAGCCCTGAGTTGGGCTCCCTGCTCAGTGGGGAGTCTGCTTCTCCCTCTCCGTCTGCCTCTCCCCCAGCTCATGTGCACGCGTGCAAACGCTCTCTCTCAAATAAAAATCTTAAAAAAATAAATGAATAAAATAAATAATTAAATGGTTATCAAGGCCTGAATAAAATTAATATCCATGCCCAAAACGAAACATCTGATTCCTAAAAGGTAAGTATCTAGGAAATCCCTTCCTGGTTTTATCTATTTTCATATGCAGAGCTATAAAGGGATACACATGCTTTGGGCTAAATAAAAATTTAAGATGTAGGTTACCTATTAATTGGGCAGAAGTCGTCTTTGCAAATCGAGATTCCTTCAGGTCCAACCCCAATGAGGAGTTTCTGCCCCTCACTGTCCCTCACGGAATGCCACTCTATGCCGTAGTTTTCCATTGCCGACACAATCTGCAATACCTGGTATTCGGACGAAGCCTGGCTGGTCCCCTCCAACTCTTTATGCTTTGCAACAATGCTGTTGGACACCAGAAGGGCAGGGAGAGATTAACTGATGTGGTCTTTAGAGAGAAATCGGTACCATTTTCACTAGTGAATCATGCAGATGCTGCCATTTATGTATCTCAAAAACTTAAAGCAATATAGCATTGCTATTTCATTTATTTAGCAAATTTACTCTAAATTACTTCTAAGACACCATTTTGATCTCAAGTAGTAAATATTTAGTAGAAAAAGCAAGTGGGAATGCTGGATAGGGGTGAATTGAAAGAATTATGGAAAATCTCTAAAATATACATAAGAAATTTTTTATGTAGGAACCTCACACGCAGGTGTCTACACTTACTAAGTTTCATTATGATATAGCATTGTAAGAGATTGATTAGATCACCTGCAACTGAAAAATGCAGGATTTATTTTATTGTTGTTGCAGACAGCCTCTGACACAGTCCTTCAAGATCCCCACCTCCTGATATTCACACCCTTGTACAATTCCCTTCACCTGAGTGTTGAGTCCCTGCTGTGTTAATGACTGGCTGGATTCATAACTCGCTTCTAATGCACAGAATAAGGCAGAAGTGATGGGATGTCACTCACTTCTGAGATTACGTTCTAAAAGGATTTGACTTCTGTCTTGGGTGTTCCCTCTTGATCTAACTGATGGCTTGTCCTGGGGGAAGCCAGCTACCACGTTATGAAACAGCCCCCTGGAGAGGCCTGTGTGGTGAGGGAACAAGGCCCTGCCAACATGCCACATGAGTCAACCTGGAAGGGGATCCCTCCTTCAACTGAGCCTTCAGATGACACTGAACTCCACCAACAGCTTGCTTCATGAAAGATCTTGGAGAACCCAGCCAAGCAACAGCCAGATTTCTGACCCCCGGCAGGGAGAGATACTGTTTGTTGTTGTAAGCCACTAAGTTTGGGGGTAACTTATTCTCCAGGAATAGGTAACTAAGATACCTACATTAGGTCTCTTGGTTTAATCCTTGCTGGGATGAAGAAAATACCAACATATATGATAGACTTTTGAAGAGATTTGCATCCTTCAGAGGTCAGAGATTTCATAGCCATTTTGTATAAGGGCATTCATTTAGGTGGATTGTTTTGGGTCTGTAAATTTCTCAAAGAAAGGGCTAAGAATCTTTCAAGAACTGGCTAAACTGGGCAACAGTCTAGTCTTAGCCTCACCAATTACCTGTATATATACCAGAGATTCATTTTCTTCGGGAAATACCTATAAATTCACTAGCTCGATGAATACAAACAGTTGCGCCCATGCAGCCTCACCTGTTCAAGGTGGCGCTGGAGAGCTCCTTTGCACATAGCTCCTCGTAGTTGTACTTGGCCGTGTTCTGATTGTAGTCTCCAAACTTGGTCTGGGCCAGGAGGGCACTGAGTTCCACTGCCTGCTCTGGGGAGCACTGGAGGTGGCCTGCCAGGAGGGTCTCTTTGATATGCAAGAAGAAGATATGCCTGCAAAGCATTGAGAGAAGGTTATCCTGGGGGACTAGCTTGATACCAAGCTCAACCTGCTTAGCAACCTCACAATCCCTTTTAGGTAAGGAAAATACAGTAATTTAAAAAGCCACCCCCCCTGGGGCACCTGGGTGGCTCAGTCGTTAAGCATCTGCCTTCGGCTCAGGTCATGATCCCAGGGTGCCGGGATTGAGCCCCGCATCGGGCTTTCTGCTCCGCGGGAAGCTTGCTTCTCCCTCTCCCACTCCCCCTGCTTGTGTTCCTGCTCTCGCTCGCTCTCTCTCTCTGTCAAATAAATAAATAAAATCTTTAATAAATAAATAAATAAATAAATGAAATATAAAATAAATAAATAAAAAGTCACCCCCAAAATGCTCGCCACTAAAGACACTTTTTTTTTTTTTTTTAAATCTTGAGTATTAAGGCAAAATAAGTCTAAGGACTTAAGTTTCTCTGGAATAAAAAGTATAACCCAGAGAAAACGAATCTAATTAAGACAAGTTCAGTAACATTCAAGTTATCAAATATAAAATAACTCCACACAAGTTTCTGCATTAAATTTAAAAAAATTTTTAAAAGAAATTATCTTGAGAAAAACTTGATCTTGATGTGGACTTCATATCTTAGATCCTCACCTTTATTCAAATGACCCCCAAATCTCTAGTTTTTGCCCCAACTTCTCTAAGCATCACATTCAAATGTCCAAGTGCCTATAGATGCCTCCACTTTGACGTTCAGTATCCTAATTTCACTTTGTTCAAAACCAAACTCACTGCTTTCCTTCCCAAACCCAATTTTTCTTCCAGTGGGAACCTGAGACTTGTTTGTTATCTTACCCATAGACCCACTTTTGATTTTTTTTTTTATTTCCACCTACTTTCTATCTCTGCAAACTCTTTAAAGTCAGTTACAGTCTTCCTAGTATTACTTCATATGTCCTACTTGGAACTGTCCGAGAATTTACAATCTCCCCCAAGCCAATCTCTCTAGACTCTGCTAATCCACTTTCCAAGCTACTTGCTTCTGGGATAAGCTTGCCATTTCTCCACTCAAAATCCTTCAAGGGACCCTGACTGTTTGCCAAGGAAGCATGCTGTTGGCATGAACCCAGGGTTCTGTGGGTCTGGCCCCCAACGTCCAGCCACATGTCCCATCATTTCCTCCAGCCACTATGCCGCCAGGAAAGGGACAACTCTTCCTGGAAAGACCAAACATATTCATGTCCCCATGTCTCTGTCTTGGCTGCTCCCTCTGTCCTGAGGGGCATTCTTTCTGCCCCCTCACTTAGGTACCCTTTCATCCATACCCTATGCAAACTGTTTATTTCTCTATTATAGTATTTGACATAGTCTAACTTTTACAGTTAGCTGCACGTTAGCCTACTTCTCAAGTGTCTCTAGCACCAGTGAGCTCTGTGAATGGATGTAAAACCACACGTCGTCTGCGGACCCCAAATCCCATTCCATTTGTGTCTGTCTTAATTGTATACAATACTATGTTCTACATTTACTATAAGGTATGTCAGACTTAGGAACTCCCAGGAAATGCCACATACCGTTGCCCGCTAATCCAGATTGCCCAAGATTCTCAAGAGTATCTAAAACTGCCATAGACAGACTGGCCTAGGTTATAAAATTGGTCTCTAGCAAACATACGGGTATAACCTTCCTTTGATGACTTGTTATGGCCTCTCAAACTTGCTTAAATGCCACAATATTCCTTCCATTAACAAATGAATTACAACCAGCAGTAAAGTTCTGACACTGCTCTGAATAGAGCTCATAAGCTCAGCTTCCCACTTGAGCGGGATACCCTTATTCCAGTCCTCAACAGTGCTTTTATTTATATACTAGTCCTATGTCTGATGTCCCAGGTAGAGGGGATCCATGAGCAATATAAGAAAAGCAGAAGGAAGCAGGGCTAGAAATACAAGGGGGAGGGGCTCTATGGACAGTCTCAAAATGTCAGGCAGACAAGAGCCATTAATCTTCCTTTAAGAGATGTTTAAGTTCAACGTTTTGTGTGTTCTAGAATGATAAAGAAATACTTAAAATTATCAGACTCTGCCAATACTGCAGCTTTTTCTTTATTCAAAGCCCCAATGAAGAAATCACAGTAAGAATGCGCAAGAGCGTGGAAAGAAGATAAGCATGGTTTTTATTAACCCAAACATCTGCTAGTCTTTAAAGTATTTTTGACATACCGCTAAACTGAGAAGGGGGTCCCTACTGGGGCAAAGAAATAACCACAGAAATAGCTTGTTTTAAAATAGCTATCTGAGCAGTGAGGACTAGCATTCCCATACAATCTTGGTGTTACAACGATGCTTCAGCTGTCAAAAGGCTTTTTCGATGGCCATTCAGTAAATTTCATCTTGGTGAACGTATCCCTGTCTCTGTATTCATGAAAGGGGAAACAAAACTCTGAATACATGCTGATGTTAGAAAAGAAACTAAAGAAACTACGTGCTGAACGAGTTTAAGGGTATCACCACAAACCAAGTCTTCTCAATTTAATCACTGCTCAGGTGGGAGTATCTTTTAACTTCTTTCCCTAGTATTAACCTAGAGCCTAGTTCTCTGCTTCATGGAAGAGTTACGTTTAGCCTGCAAGAGTCTCACCATTGATCCAATTTCTCTTTCCAAACCATCTGCGCCCACTCCTAGAGAGGGAGCTGCCAAAATCAAAGGCAAAGGAGCAGTAAGAGAATATAACAGGTGGTCAGCGGTCTGAGACCTAATGCTGACCTCTTCTCAGCCTGTGGGTCAGAATTTCACAAAGAGGCAGGAGGACAACTGGCCTTTTCTACATACCCCCACCCCCCGACCCCTTCTAGGCTGGACGGCAATGCATACCCTGTAAGTAGAAGAATCCTCCTCTTTCTCCCTTACGTGAACTTTTGGAGACGGCCCTTCCTGTATTTTGCAGTTTCATGGCTATCAAGCAACTTTTTCATTTCGAGTCCACAAATATTTGTCATTCATTGCCTCTGTGCCAAGCCCCACCCTGGAATCACAGGGTGAGCTGATCTGATCCTTTTTAGATGGAACTGACCGGCCTTTAGCGTGAAGGAACATATCCTATCATGGTAACTCCAGCCTCAAACTGGTTTTTGGGTGACATGTGGATGCTCTTCAGGAGAACAAGACAATGAAGCAGTGACCACAAGGGTCACCAGCTGTGGTGAGCCATAGGCAGACTATCTCATGCCCTCTTCCCAACAGGGACGATGGCAGAGCTTGGAGACACATTCCAACAAGGAATCCAGTGATGGCTCAAGTGTTCACGGGGTGATTTTGAAGAAAGTATTTTTTTCCTATTATTTTTCTCTTGAACCATCTGCTCTGTAACTGTCTAGGTCATGGACCCCCCCCCAATCCCTTTTTGTAAAATGTGTGAAAGGTTACCGATCATATCAAAATAAGCAGATGTGGTCAAAGAAGTCATACCTGCAATTAAAATTTTTTTTAAAGACTTTATTTGCCCCAGTGAAATTTTTTTTTTAAAGATCAAAAGTGGTTGACTTCTCTAATTGGCTTTAGGCTACATGCTAGAATCGCAAACAGAAAGAAAGCCTTTGGGGGCACCTGGGTGGCTCAGTCGTTAGGCGTCTGCCTTCCGTTCGGGTCATGATCCCAGGGTCCTGGGATCGAGCCCCACATTGGGCTCCCTGCTCAGCGGTAAGCCTGCTTCTCCCTCTCCCACTCCCCCTGCTTGTGTTCCCTCTCTCACTGTCTTTCTCTGTCAAATAAATAAAATCTTAAAAAACAAATAAATAAAAAATTAAAAAAGAAAGAAAGCCTTTGGAAAAAAAAACTTGTCTTAAGCAAATATCTGTGAATTTGTCCTGCAGACAAAAGCTCAAACTGCATTTTCTAAACATTCTTCCAGCTGTGTGGTTCTTCAAGCTTTACTCAGTTACTAAGAAAACGGATTCTGTCAATATGTGGATCAGTCTGGAGGCCCAGAGTGAAACATTCTGGTTCACTAAGTAAGGTCTTTGCATCATGGGTACAAATGAATTCACACTTGCTGTAGCATTATGGAAGATTTAAAAAAAATGGAGTAAATAATATGTTAAAAAAAAAAAGAAGATAGTAGGAAGGGAAAAATGAAGGGGGGGAGATCGGAGGGGGAGACGAACCTTGAGAGACGATGGACTCTGAGAAACAGACTGAGGGTTCTAGAGGGGAGGGGGGTGGGGGGATGGGTTAGCCTGGTGATGGGTATTAAGGAGGGCACGTACTGAATGGAGCACTGGGTGTTATACGCAAACAGTGAATCATGGAACACTACATCAAAAACTACTGATGTCATGTATCCTGATTAACATAACATAATAAAATAAAATTTAAAAAAATGGAGTAAATATTAAGGATATGCCATATTCTAATTTAAAAAAGTCACATATCCTTAATACATTTTTGTTTCGAAGTACTTCAAATTTCTTCTACTTTAAAAATTAATTCTTTTCCATAGCTTTAAGGAATAAAGTTAGGTCATTTATCTTTTAAGAACTGTAAGCAGGGAACTGTCCTCTGAACACCGGCTTGTCTCATAAAGAAATCATCTAATAATCAAAGCAGAACTTTCTGCAAACTGACAGGGGTTGCTGACCTGACCATCAGAGGCAGTTGCGCTCACTCACTGCCCTTTGGTATCTTCCCAGTGACATCATTTTGAAGAACTTTCTGTGACACAAATGCAAATCAACTATTTCCACATTTGCTATTAGACTCCACATTGAAGTAACAAACCTAAAACATCTTTAAATTGGCTAAGAAGCGATTTTTAAAAACTCTCCAGGGCCAACAATTGAACAGTGTTTCTCCCCCAGACCTGACTGAGCCTGGCCAGTGACGCTGGTGTGTCCCTCACCCAGTCAGACCCCCCTCTGAGATCATCCCCGCGCCTGCCTCAGTCCAATGAGCCAGTTCACCACATCGGTTTATTTTAAACCAAGCTCCAACTGCCGAGCTGTATTTAAAAACTATCAA